CCTTGATAGGTAAAATAGTTTCCTCCTCCATGGCTTCTTAGAATATGTTTTCTTTATCTTTCTGTAGTTTAATATAATATGCCTAGGAGTAAGTATTTTGGTAGTCAATCAGGAAGGCTAGAGGAGGATTAAGACCTTTAATTGTCCTTCTCCTAGGTATTAGGATTTGATAAAGTTTTGCTCCTTAGACAGGCATTTGTTATGGAGAATGCTCACGGCATATTTCTAAATTATTACTTTTCTTTTCCCCCTGCCAGAAAAACAAGGAGACTTTTCTTAGATCTCTACCATGAGAACTTGTTTTCTGGAGGTCAATCCTATGGAAGTGTGGGGGCTCCAGGAATTGTTAACTCTCAAGCTAGTCCATATTCAGCCTCTATCAGTTTGTCAAAATTATCAGTTAGGTGTTTATACCAGTTTATGACTCCAGCAGCTTTTGCTTTGGGTAAGCTGATCTCAGCCATAATTCTCTGTAATTTGTCTGTCTTCCCAGATTTCAGAGTGAAAGTTCACCTGTGACATCAATCCCTTGAAGGGTCTAAGAAAAATAATTGATTTTCAGTTTATTCAGCTATTGTTTTGTTGTTGAGGATGGGAATGATGACTTCCAAGCTCTTTATATGTTGGAGCTGAGACTAGAAGTTCCCAACAACCAGTTTTCAATGATGAAGTATGTTGTGGTATTAGCAAGGGCCTTGATGTTAGACTGATCTACGTTCAAATTCAGGCCCTAGCATTTAACTAGAGGTGTTACCTTGTGTGAGTCACTTAACTTGTCTGTGTCTCAGCTTCTTCCCTAGTCAAATAAAAATAATACCAAACACATATGGTTTTGTTAAAGTTAAATGAGAGTACACATGTGAGCAAATTTATTACAGATCCTGATATGTACATTGTAGGTACTTCATACTTTCAGTTTTCTTTTCCTATTAAGGTCCTTATGCTGGAAAACAAGGACTATTTTTGAGCCCAACCCATGGTGTTGCATTCATCCTAGGAATTTAAAAAAAAGTTCTTCTTATAAAGTATTTGCCATTCTTACAATGCTGAAAAACTACCTTGAAAAATGTAACCTACTTATATAAAGACTACCTTATTCTTAAGGGCTTATGGAAACCCCCTGGTTCATTTATTCCTATTTACCAACCACAAGTACACTATCCTTTTAAAAAATATCCAGTCTTCTACCAAAAAAGGCCCATGAAAACACATTTCTTTCTGTCTAGGTTGAATACAGAAACATCAGCACCAAATACTAAGGATAGTCATTTTGCTACAGTGATAGGCTCTATGTTCTGGGCAGGGGGAAGAAGTTATTGAGCCATTTAGAGGGAGTAAATAGCCTTATTGCACACTTCACATATCAAACTACATCTGGAGAATTGTGTCCATTGAGTACCATAATTTATGGAGGATGTTAACAATACTAAAGTGTGTCCAAACATTGGTGACCAGGATGGTAATGAGGACATCTGCAAATCTAGAAACCTTGCTATATTTGGATATATATTAATTCAGTTTATTAGATCTATTTTCTGTATCATTTATATTGTAAAACAAAAATTAGAATATTTTCTGTTTAGTAGCTAAATTTTCATAGTATCTCTGATTTTACATTGTTCCAAATTTTCCTGGACATAGCTCTTGACCACTTCCCAGGAAAAAGACAGAGGAAAACCTCCCCTACCCTAAGGGTATAAATATTATCTGACAAAAAAAATCAATGAGCTGAACTTCCTTGCAGTAATTCTAGCCCTTGGCTTCATTCCATTAAACCTCAAGTTGCCAACCTCAAACTGAGCATCCTTTTTCATCTAGTGTTGGCTCCTATAAGTCCCCAAGGAGTCTTTGCTTGAGTGGTTATGGTTTGGTCTGTTGCCCAGTGATATAGAAGTAAGGGGGATGGGCAACACCTAGAGATGTGCTAAATGGATTCTGAGCTGTGAAAGTTGGAGCAGGGAGCACATGTGAGCTTCAGGTTAGATATGAAACCCTAGCCCCTTTCCCCACGGCAGTATGTGCTGTTGTTAATTCTTTCTGCAGAAGAGTTCATGATCTTTTGTAATTTTTTTTCTATTGATCCAACAGTGTTAGTAACAGAAACTTTAAAAAAAAGTTATGGCAGTATAGTCTATGGAATTTCACTGTCATATGTTTTGCACATTAGAGAACCAATGCCCTGTGCTAGAGATGAAATTTGCCTTGTAGTGAATTCATTTTAGGGTAACTTAGATGTTTGAGATCTACATATCTCTTACCTCAGGCTTTGTCAAGGCAAAGGTGTAAGTATGACCCTGCTTTGTTGGTCTTTGGGCTGCAATTTATCCTAATATGTTTCCATTCACAGAGAAGAAGCCAGTGAATCTATTTTTGTTCATAGATCCAGAGACAGAAGCATTGAACAGACCGTTAAACCTCAGAGGGAAGGCAGGGGAGGGTGAGAGGAGGGGTTAGAGATCAACCAAAGGACTTGTATGCATGCATATAACCAATGGACATGGACACTAGGGGGGTGAGGAGACATATGTAATATCTTAATCAATAAAGAATAAAAAAAGAAGCCAATGGAAAAATAATGAGGTTAAAAAAGAACTTAACTTTCTATAAAGGTTTTTGAAATTATGTATGTTGGCTTTATGGCCGAGGGCAGCTAGAGTGTAACCATTACTGAGAGGAACCAGTCTGAGTTGACTACTTCTACTTTGCAGTTGTGTGACTCTGAGACAAGGCTTAAACTCTGCTGAATTTCAGTCTCATCCTCTATAAAACGGGGATTGCAATACCAAATCATAAAGTTGTTGCAAAAAGTAGTTATTATAATATACTTAGAAATGCTTTGTAAATGCTAAACCATATAGCTTGTGAGCATTTTAATACAAGGATGGTGTATTATTTATCTCAATCTACCTAGCATTTATATATGCCTAGTACCTTGCACAGAGCCTGATATATAAAATAAATGATTGCTAGTTAAAATTTAAATGAATGAGTATGCCCTGTCCAGGTAGCTCAGTTGGTTAGCAGTGGTTCTCAACCTTCCTAATGCCACGACCCTTTAATACAGTTCCTCATGTTGTGGTGACCCCCAATTTCATTGTTACAAATTGAACATAATTAAAGCATAGTGATTAATCACAAAAACAATATGTAATTATATATGTGTTTTCCGATGGTCTTAGGCGACCCCTGTGAAAGGGTCATTTGACTCCCAAAGGGGTCGCGACCCACAGGTTGAAAACCGCTGGGTTAGAGCATCATCCTGATATGCCAATGTTGTGGGTTTGATCCCTGATCAGGCACCTTTAAGAATCAACCAATGCTTTCTCCCCATCCTTTCTCTCTCTCTCCCTTTCTCTCTCTCTCTCTCTCTCTCTCTCTCTCTCGATAAAAAAATTATTTTAAAAAATTAACGAGTAGTTTTAAATCTCCATGTTTCTGATGATTTTAAATAATTCATTGATGGATCCTTTGTTTGAGGCTAGATGATCTCCTGGCCTCATTAAATCTTTAGATTCAATGTTTGAGAGTAAAGTAGCATATGGGGTTAGGAAGAGATTGTTACAAGATAGATAAACTTTCCAGGAATTGCTTGACGTTCTAAACAAAGCAAAACAAACATATGAAGATACAGCAATTGATAGAAATGAAGATTAACTTTCTCAACTGGCCTTGGAAGCCTAGTGAAATTGCATTGGCATCTGCTCAAGATTGCAGGGCAAGCCATAAGCTCAAGGGAATAATCTAGCAAGCACATTCTACCTTGTGAGTGATCTGGGGCAGATGGTGGTGGCACAACCTAGACATCACTTCTGCCATAGCTGACTGAGATGCTGGACTAACTGATCCCAAGGAGCTGTTGGAGTATATAGTCTCTCTAGTAGTCTGAACGTGGTAATAATTTGATTTTTCAAGCCTCATGAATTGCCATCATTTGGAGTACATCTGTCAGGGACCTTTGCACTTTGGAAGGAAATGAAAGAAAGTACTAAGTTAATTTTAAATGTCTTAGGAAACTTGGTTATTTTGTTTGTTTTTAAACTGTCTTATTTCTTGAAAAACCTATTATTTTAGTTATTTTCTCTTCCCTTGTACAAATGTAGAACTCTGATTATTTGGAATAATTTATGTCTGGAGTGTTTCAGTTTGAAGAAAATGAGATGGCAACATGACTACTTTCTCTTTCAAACCAATGACACTAATTGGGTCTTATGCCAAGGGGCAGGGGCAGCAGATGTAATCCTGAATTCATAGCTTTTGAAGAATAGATAAAGCTTCTACTGGAAGCCAAATTTACCAAAGAAGCTTAGCAATTATAATTCCAGATGTTCACCTTGCAAATACCAGAGGTGTTGTTTTTAATTTCAAATATATGGATAAGTGCATGGATTGCTTTGTTTCCATCCAGATACCCATTTAAGGAATATGTTCCATTTCCAGATATGGCAATATATCAGATAGCTCTCTTTAAAGTTATCTAGAGGAAAATCTACCAAAAATGGTTAAATTTGTGATAGTTTTTATTCTTGGCTAAGAATTTGCCTCTCCTCCAGGACTGAACAGGCCTAAATTATTATGTGAGTTTATATAATATATGATTTGTTGTCAAATATTTATCTCTGTCCAAAAATAAAATGACTTGAAATACAAGAAATTTTTAACTGAATAAATCAATGAGAGAAAGAAAAATAAATTCTCATTTAGCCTATTTTTAATCAGAATTTTCATGAGAGGCAAAATGTTAACTGAATCCTGCCTTTTGTCATTTGAAATATAATTAGTGTGTTTAAGAATTTATGTACACATCAGGGTTTGGACTTTATATTCAGAAAGGAAAATTGATTTATAAGAGCAGGCAACTGCAGGAGTTGAGGCAACATGAGTCAATTATTTAAGGCAAATGTGACCTTACTCACCACAGCAATAGATAAATTTCTAATTCAATTATACCCTGTATTTTCATGCTTTAATTTGTTGGCATTTCTCTATTTCTTATTTTACAGAGGCCTTTGAAATTGTTGTTCGCCATGCCAAGAACTACACCAATGCCATGTTCAAAAACAACTATGCGAGCCTGACCCCACAAGCTTTTGAGTTTGTAGGTGAATTTTTTACCGATGTGTCTCTCTACATCCTGGGTTCTGACATCAACGTGGATGACATGGTCAATGAACTATTTGATAGCCTGTTTCCAGTGATCTATACCCAGCTGATGAATCCAGGCCTGCCTGAGTCAGCCTTAGACATCAATGAGTGCCTCCGTAGTGCAAGGCGTGACCTGAAAGTATTTGGGAATTTCCCCAAGCTTATTATGACCCAGGTTTCCAAGTCACTGCAAGTTACTAGGATCTTCCTCCAGGCCTTGAATCTAGGAATCGAAGTGATCAACACAACTGATCACCTGAAGTTTAGTAAGGACTGTGGCCGAATGCTCACCAGAATGTGGTACTGCTCTTACTGCCAGGGACTGATGATGGTTAAACCTTGTGGTGGCTATTGCAACGTGGTCATGCAAGGCTGTATGGCAGGTGTGGTGGAGATTGACAAGTACTGGAGAGAATACATTCTGTCTCTTGAAGAGCTGGTGAATGGCATGTACAGAATTTATGACATGGAAAATGTGCTGCTTGGACTCTTTTCGACGATCCATGATTCCATCCAATATGTCCAGAAGAACGGAGGGAAGCTGACCACCACCGTGAGTACCAGTCTACAGTTTTCAGAGGAACTGGGTCCTATTGGGAGGGGGAAGCCTGGCTAATAGCAGGTGCTGTTAGAGATAAGTGAGAACAAGATCAGAGGGTTGGAAGAGATGAAAGACTGAATGACCTCACATAGTTAGGCAGCACATTGAGACCACAGGTTATGGAGTCACAATGCCTGGCTTTGAATTTTGCTGTGGGAACTTGGTTGAATCATTTTATCTTTATGAGCCTCATATTTCTGATTTATTAACTAGGGATAAAAAGAACATCTTTTTCACAAGGAATAATATATTAAAGCACTTAGCTTGTGCCTGGTACATGGTAAGTCTTCAGTAAATATTAGCTATTAATACCATTGTTAGTTATCATAATCTTCATGACAGCCCTTTGAGGTAGGAGCTATTATCTTCATTTTATAAATTAAAAAACTAAAGCTCAATAAAACTGTAACTTGCCCAAGGGTACCCAGCTATCGTTAGTGGAAAATCCATAATTCAGAAATTGATTAGATCTCCATTTAATTAGGTTATCACCGATTTCTTTTATTCTGATTTCACTCTCATGTTCTTAATCATATATATCACATTACCATTTTAAGTAATGACTTTAAACTCGGGAGACCTATCTAGAACCCACTAATTAAACCTACATAAGAACATAAGCAAGGCCAAACATGTTTTCAAAGTTGTTGTTTTACAGTCTTGATTATATAACAGCCTGATGGGGTTTGTGATGGGATAGTTCTGCAAGTGAAGCAGCAATTTACTTTGTTTCAGTTTCACATTGTTAGTTACATTATACCTGCTAAGCTAGAGTGCATACATTCAGAACCACGGGAGGCACACACATTACAATGTAGAGCAGAATATACAGCCAGGAGCTACTAGCCAGATCCCACTAAGGTGGTGGTGAATGATTCCTGAATGCTACCAGCATTGTGGAAGGTGGTGACAGAATCATCTAATACCCTACCATTGTTGACTTCCTACTACATTTCAGTTGCTCTGATGGCCAGTTTGCATGTTATTTCACAGTAACCCATGAGATAGGCCTTAATGGTTTCCCCATTTTACACAAGAGAATATGAAGGTTAGAGTGGTTAAATACCTAGCCCAAGATCTCAAAGTTAGTTAAGTAAAGGTGGGGGAAACTGGGATTCAAACATAGGCTTGGTTGACTTATACTCTTAGTTTCTAAGCGGTGCAACTGCTATGTACTCTGAGACATTGTTTACCCAGAATATGTAGGGCAGATTGGGCCATTTAACCTTGTCTTTAAGTTCTGGAAATGATCGGGATAATTGGTTTCTTTGGTGAATTAAAGTAGTAGGGAGGACAGAAATGATGCTACTTATGGAGCTGTTCCAATTGTCCCATTTACAATGTTAGCCATTTAAAACACATTTGCTAAGAAAATATTTTATAGTAAAATGAACAGAAATGCCCTATCTAACTATAGTGTTCTTTGATGACTAATTATTCCCTTGACTGCTTTATAATTCAAGACCAGATTCTGAGGCCTTATGCAAAAGTAAATTTCACAGAACTAGAAAAATGAAAAGTTAGCGCATTCACATGTTCATTAACCTTATATTGATTGAGTGCTCACTATGTGTCAGACACAAAGCAAGGATGCCAGGGGTATGGAAATGTCTTCAATAAGAGGAAAAATAATGAGACAACATTAGACACAGGGTATAGGAATGTTTTAAGTTTGCCTCTGATATTGGTCACTTGATAGCTGATAAGGAATTAAGTACATGGTTTTGATCAGGCTCCAGGCATAAAGATTCATTTAATTAACTTTTATTAAGCATCTGTTTTGCTCATGGCACTTTGTCCAGTGCTGGATATTCAAAGTTATTTAAGACATAGTTCTTAAGTCTTGAAAAGGTCAGTCTAGTTGACTGACAGACATGCAACTGAATAAATCTTACCGTAATCAACATGTCACTATAATGTGAATGTTGGAAGCATCATGAGAGATTATCTAGTTCAATTCCACTGATTTACAAATGAAGACATAAAGTCCAGGGAGAGTTGCCCAAAATTATATGATTAATGGAAGAGCCAGAAGTAGAATCCAAGGTCTTCTGCTGTTACAATCTAACTAGTGTTCTTTCCACTGTACGTCTGTCTCCCATTAGACTGTCCCAGGCTTTCACTCTAAAAAGCTCCATTAGGATTTTACAAAAACATTGTGAACTTAAATTGGATAGCTATTTTAGGTTGCCAAACCTGCTATATTTTAGGTGTGCAGGTGTGTGTGTGTGTGTGTGTGCAAATGCGTAGGGGGAGTACATTTCATGTCATTATCATTTAGGAAGAAAGTTCTTGGTTGTGAAGAGGTGCTCGGTGATGCAGTCCCTTTCTGTTTTGGCCATTAAAGGTCTGATTGCCCCCAGCTTCCAGCTGGTTATGAGAGCGTGAAGTCTGCCTTCCCCCAGGGATGCCTGAACTAGACCAGAAAGCATATGTAAACTCTGCCTTGTTAATGTTTTATGATCACCAACTTAAGTAATATATACCAAATGGTGGGAGTGGGGAAATCATTGACCAGGTGTGATCTAGCCCATATTCTCTATGGGTCAGAGAAGGGCTGAACCATTTATAGAGGAGGAGGGTAAGTGAGGGCTGAATAGACTGCAGAACTCTATTCATGTTAACAAATCCACAGAATGTCCCAAAGCAAAAACTGATTTAAAACTAAAGCATTAATGAGATTATTTTCTGTAACACTGTGACTTTTCTATTGTGTTAATAAGTAAAACCTTGCCAGTCAGTCCTACTTGAGATTAAGTTGTAGTGAGAGACATCTTTGATAATATGTTCTTCCTGAGCTCTGTTGGGACAGCCTTTTAGCTAGCTATAAGCTATGCCATGAGGTTTGCCATATAGAGATTTTACCCAGTTGTTTTGGTGGCTACCGTGTACCGATTAATAAGGGCATTTCATGTACAGATTATGAAGGGCATTTCGCTCTTCTAAGTGAATGTGGAACTGTTCAATTTTTATAAGTATGACCTATTAGTGCTTTCATTTTCCATAAGGTAGTTATAAATTCCACCAAGTGAATGCATGAAAGTAAATGTAGGGATGTTGTAAAACATCCAGGTTGCAAACTTGGCTCACCATCACAATCACCTGGGGAACTTGTTAAACAAATTCCTGGAGTCCACCCTGAGGATTTTGATACCATAAGTCTGTGGAGAGGCCAGAGAATTTGTTATTTAAAAAGTGCTCCAGCTGTTTCTGATACTCCCTTGGGCGCAAGCCCTGTCTCCTTATTTGGAATTGAATAGCAATTAATGGCAAAGTTAGGACCTCGGATTCCTCATCTATAAAATGGGGTTGCTTTATGGGATTAATTAAAATGATTGATAGGTTCAAAGTATGTGGCAAAGTTTGTGGCACATGGCAGGTACTCACTAAGCCCCAGTCCCGTACTCTTTCTATTACATTTTTCTAAATGCCAAATGGACAATGAGTTTTGCATAAACTTATTTTTAAGTCCCAGAATGTTTAATGTTATTTTAATCCTCAGAAGTGAATAAAAATTGTGTATGAGAAGGTGAGAGAGAGAGAGAGAGAGAGAGAGAGAGAGAGAGAGAGAGAGAGGCTAGGGAGAATAAGAAGGGGAAAAAAGAGAGAAAATTTGTACTGCAAACTCCAAGTTAGTATTAATGATGGGACTGGACTGTAAATAGTTCTATCTTGACTCTTTAACTACATTTGTGAACTAGGTTAAATATCTTGGCCCATAGTAAGTATCCAGTATATCTTTAATAGTATATGGGTGATCAGAACCAAGATGGCGGCATAGGTAAACACCTGTACTTGCTGCCTCCCACAACCACATCAAAATTACAACTAAAAGATAGAACAACTATCATCCAGAACCACGGGAAAGCTGGCTGAGTGGAAATACTACAACTAGACAGGTAAAGAAGAAAGCGTATTGAGACTGGTAGGAGGTGCGGAAGCGGGGAACGGGCTGGCACCCAGGTGTGCCACTTTTTTAATCCGGAGGGAGATATAAGCTCCCACTTGCTCTGAGCTCCAGTACTGGGCAAGACTCTGGGGGACCCAGACACATATGGGGATAAACTGGACTGTCTGGCATCAGGGCAGGAAGGTAGGGGTGGCTTTCTTCCAGAGGGAGGTGCTCACAACAGTCATTGTTCCTGTGCTAGGACCTCCCAAGTGCAGGGCTGATTGGTAGCTATTGCTGTTTGCTCCACCCTGGAGATTCCCTGAGACCCCACCCTACCCAATTTACAACCCCACCCAAGCTGTGCACAGCAGCTTTTGTATATGAATGGTCTGTCCTTTCTCAGCCTAAAACCTGTCAAACGTGCTGCAGCTGGGTCAGGGAGCCCCAAAGCTATCAAAAGAAGGCCCACAGCAGCATCAACAGCAGCCTGCCTTGCTTCACAGCTGGGCCTCGTCTGGGCACTTCCAAACCCGATACAAAGATGAGGAATCTACAGATCTCTCTGTAACTCCTGCTGGGTAGCCCCAGGCAGTGGCTGACTTTGCACCTCCTTGGAGATATAAGAGCCAGTGTACCTAGTGGTCAGTGCAAGATCATACCAGATTACAGCTCTTCACATCCATATGTGACACACTCAAGGGGAAGACTCAGTGAGTACTAAAGCCCCATTGATGCAAGTCCTGCCCCATCAGGGTGTCTCCTGCACAGCAGCTCTTCCATTGTAGACACAGCTGGTCCTCACAGCCAATTGGCCTGGAGGTCAATTCCTCCCAGTGATACCAACAGCAATCAAGGCTCAACTACAACAAGACTGTGCACACAGTCCACAAAGGGGTACACCAAGAGTATCTACCTCAGGTGATTGGGGAGGCTGAGGCACTGGTCCCTATAGGACACCTACTACACAAGGCCACTCTATCAACTCAAGGAGACTTAGAAGCTACCCAATACATGGAAACAAACATAGGCAAACAGCCAAAATGCAGAGACAAAGAAACAT